GGTGGTCCTACGGTGGTCAAAGTGGTCCTATCAGTGTCAGAGGTGATCCTACGAGGGACCTTCGTCCAAGTACAAGTATCCTCATTTGCGTCGTCAGACGTTTAAAATGTGCGGTCTGTTGTGGCGGCGTCAGCGGGGATTCCGCGTGGATATCAGAAAACAGCGCAAAAAGTCACTGCCTGCAAAGTCAAAGGCTTTTTCACAACCTGGGGCAGCGGAGGGACTGCCAAAGGGTGTCCGGCCCATTCGTCTAAAGACAACTCGTCTAACGGACAACTGGTCTAAGGACATTTGGTCTAAGGACAACTCGTCTAACGGGCTATCCACCCTCAACGCGGCCACGGGTTGGTTGTGTACCTGTGACACAAACTTCCCTGTTATGAATACCACTCGTTTTCAAAGCCGTCGCGTGTGTTCATCATCATCATCATGAGTTTTTTTACAGAACAAGGCAATGAGGTAGCCGTCAGCTTCCTATTTTGCCTGAGCAAAGCAGTGTCGGTGATTGGTTCATTAGAATCTAAGGAGAATGCAAACTAAATGTACGAACTATGAAATTTCGCTGCCTAAAAGTGATAATCGATGGTAATACATCAAACGAAGTGTGTTCGCAAGCTGTCGAGCTGGAACTGTAGCAAAGAGTACTTTCGCATTGCGACATTGAAAAATACGAGAGTGGCTTCGACGGATGGTGTTGTAGGCTTGGCAGTGGAAGAGAAAATGGAGCTCGTCTTCAGGTGCCAAGTGGCATAACGGACACAATCGGCTTGAAAATTCTGGAATGGATTGTCTCGCGTGTGTTCAAGTGCCCTATGGTGAAGTCAATGGCAACATTGACTCCGTCTTCGTGTTAGACGGGTTGTCTTTAGACGAGTTGACTCAACTCGTCTAAACAGCGCCCATTAACTGCATTTAAGCTACAGTTACATTCCGTTCCGATAGTGGCGGGCTGCATTCCGAACTGGTTCCTGGGCGCGTTCCTGACGCGCGCGCAGGGGGCGGGACAGCACGGGAGGGTGAGCGCCCATCCAGGCGCGTGGCTGGCGGGTGTGCCGCGATTTGCGCAGCGTGCGGCGTCGATTGGCAGCTATGGAAAGCGGAGATTCTACCGGGCGCGGAGGTGGATCGACGGGATCGGAGGTAGCCGAGCGTCTGCTCCGATCGGCGGCGATGGAGCCGTCAGATCCTCCACGGGGCAAAAATAGATCGACGGGGGAGGGTGGTGAAAGGGAGAGTCGACCGGCAGACTTGGAGCACGGAGATTCTGCAGGCGCCGAAGGTGGATCGACGGGTGAGGCAACCCAATGGCAGCGCCGATTGGCAGCGAGGGAGCCAGCAGATCCTCCAAGGCAAGGAGGTGGATCGACGGGAGAGGCAGGCCAACGCGACCCCAGTCTGCAAAGGGAATTGATTCGTGGACAAAGGGCGTTGAAGCTCCACGCTCAGGGGCACCTCTACACAAGGAACCGGGTGGTGGAGTACACCAGCTACTGGCGGTGCGAACGTCGTGACTGCCCAGGGCGTGCAGTTTTGATTGAAGACGTGGCTGCGAGTAACAATGCCACCTTGCAATTGAAAGGTGAACACAATCATGCTCCGGCCCCTGGAAGATCAACGGCACTAAAAACACGGCACACCCTCAAGCGTCGGGCTATTGAGACTACCTACGGTTCGACATCCATCGTGCGTGAAGTGTTAAGCCAAACTGGTGGCGGGAGCAATGAGCACATGCCAATGGAGCGTTCCTTGGCCCGCCAAGTGCGTAGAATTCGCCATGCTGGACGCCCAAGTGAGCCAAAAACACTTTCTGAATTGGATTTGCACGTGCAATTCACACAAACACTTGGGGGTGCACAGTTCTTGTTGTTTGACAATAAAGGAGCTGGTGGCGATCCAAGACTCCTAATCTTCGCTACGGGAGCACAGCAACGGAAGCAGTTTGGAGAGCGCCAACATCGCGAAAAGCGGCTCTGGCTCGTCGCGAGTTCAGGCGTGCGCACGCACGAATGTTACCTGCGGAAAGAAGAAACCGGGAATATAGAAACCGGTTTCAGCAAGAATGCGGATGTGAGTGAGTTGGTTTTTGGGTTTAGGGTAATGCGTTGAACGGGTGAGGGCCCTCGGGTCACCGGCTGTGTGTGCGATGCGGATGTGAGCGAGTCAACTCCGGTCAAGAGAATTTTAGACGAGTTGTCCATTAGACGTAATGTCCTTAGACCAGTTGACCGTTAGACGAGTTGTCTCTAGACGAAATGGCCGGCACCCCTGCCAAAGCGCCCGTGGCGACCATTTCGTCTAAGGACAACTCGTCTAACGGACAAGTGGTCTAAGGACATGTCGTCTAGTGGACAACTTGTCTAAAATTCCGTTGACCCGAGTTGACTTGCTCATATCCGCATCGCACCTCCACCCAGTGGACCGAGGACCCTCACCTGCTGACCGCATTCCCCTTAGCCCCAAACCAACTCGCCCTTATCCGCATTCCAGCTGGTAGCGCGGGCTTGGCGCCGTTGCCCGTCCCACCGCGTCCCATGCCCGCCCCCCTCGACGGCGCCGACTCGCCCGGCCCCGCGCGGATCCGCCCCGCGCGCCCCGAGGACGTCCCCGCGCTCGTGGCCCTCCTGGCGCAGCTCTTCGCGATCGAACGCGACTTCTCGGCGGACGCCGATCGACAGGGCCGTGGCCTGGCCCTGCTGCTGCGCACCGATGGGGCAATCGTTCTCGTGGCGGAGATCAGCGGGAGGGTGGTGGGCATGGTGAGCGTCCAGACGCTGATTTCCACCGCAGAGGGGGGCCCTGTGGGGAATTTGGAGGATCTGGTGGTGGACGGGGGTTGCAGGGGGATGGGGATTGGGTCGAGGCTGCTGAGGGCCGCGGAGGAGTGGGCGGAGGGCCGGGGGCTGGGGAGGCTGCAGCTGCTGGCCGACCGGGGGAACGCGCCGGCGATCGGGTTCTACGCGGGGGCGGGGTGGGCGGCCACGGAGCTGGTGGCGATGCGCAGGCGATGTGGTGATTGAGCGGGTTCCCCTGGTGTCCTTGTTCTTTGTCTTTTATTGAAAATTGCTTTAACATGGGTAAGGGTCCAGCTGCCACTTTTAAATGGCGCACATGGTGGTGTTCTTTGCCGAATGATGAACGGGTTGATGCAGCAATGGGTGGAATGTTCTAAATTATGTTCACCATTTAACATCCGTTTCCCGTGACTCCCTTTTGACTTCTGGCAAAATTTAAGGCAGCCCAATCTCCTCAAATATGGGCTACAGAGGTGAGCAGAAACGTTGCGTTGTTATCTTGCTTGTCCTGCTCTGTCCTTGGTGGCAACATCTAGTTTGTTGTAGGTGGAGGTTGATTTGGTGCTACCCAGTGTAGTGCATTAAAGGTGCTGGATAATGACAACCAAGCATTCTTGAGGGAGTGCAACGTTCAGGGAGGTATGCTGCTGACAGGGAGGGGTGTACAGTTTTGGTCTCTACTGTGCTGTGTACCTCACAGACGGTTGCCCAAACTGCGCATTGGTTCATTGCATTTAGGACGGTCCATACATTATTCTGTACTGTTTTGTTGTTTCCACTTTGGCTTCTAGAACTTGCTTCTAGTGGCATCACCACGTTTAGGTCAGGTGCTACTCCTGTCCTGCAAAAGATATTGGGCCTGTGTAGTCACATTGCAAGCACGGTGTTAGTGTTTTGAATCCTTTTTACTGAATACAGATGTTGCCTTATACTTGGGGATCGAGAGACTGCTCCAGTTGTAACAGAATCGTGGCTTGGGTTCCCTGTTGATTGATTTAATCGAGACCAGGGAGCCATAGTGGGTGTATGCATTCTTGGAGGGTTAGCATTCAATTTAATTGTGGAGATAGTGAGGCTGGCAAAAATGGGAGTTCTGTTTGACAAATGTTGAGACAACAATGCATGGCATGTGTTGACCACATGTATATCCAACAGATAACAGATTGCTTCATGTGCACTCAGCATGCGAGCACCTGCAAGAACCCTTGCAGTCGGTAGCACCTTTGCATCCTCCAGCCTGTACTTGCAAGTGCTCACGCATCACCCAACAAGTCCCAACGGGTGGAAATGCATCCTGCTGGCATTTTTCAAAAACTTCCCAGTGGACTTCGAACACACAATTGCCTGCTGGCCTACAAAGCTCCAAGCAAAGGTCTAAATAGGTGGACATGTTGATATCATTTCCAGGCAAACTGCCAATGCGACAGCTTGCAGTTCGTGTTGGCGTAAAGGTGCCATCCAAGAATGAGAACTGCTGACTGCTCCATGCCGTAAGGGCTGTTGATCACCCAGCAAGTGAATCCACAGTCTCAGAACCACAATGAGTTCTCATTGATCTGAAAGAACCCAATGCACACCAGCCTTGCTGTTCCAATGGATTCGCCCCCTGGTGCTCCATGACTTCAAAAAGGGATATCCAGTTGGCAAGCGAATTTCAAAATGTTTGCCCTGGGACCACTAATCTAAACACTTGTTCCTCAGAAAACTCTATCTAGTTACCACCATACCCTCGGCCACCACACTGTACATTTATTCGCCTGTTCAGCTACCCCACAAACTCACCCACCCACACACTCACCCTTGCTTGACACAGGTCACCACAGCCAAAATGCATTCAATCTGCACCCATAACATTTGGCTCCAAACAAAATCGTGTGTGTCCCCATCGATATCTCTTCGCGCCAGCCTGCAATGGTCTCAGATAACAACTCCATTCCCAGCGTGTGACAAGCCATGTGTTGGAACATCCTGATCATTCTCTGAGCAAGCGCTGCCATGAGACTATCGCACGCACGGACCTGTTCTATTCTAGAGGCAACTGCTGCAGAGGCCCTTTAGAAGCTCAGTCGTTCCCCACGTGCCAGACCCAAAGCTTCCCCTCAAGGTTTACCGTTTTTAAAGTGTTGGCGCACCAAAGATTGGGATAATCCAATACTCGAAACCCAGCCAGGTCCCAACGTTAGCAAGAGCCACACATGTCTTTGGCTCTCAATGGACATCTGGGCCCATGATTGTGCCGTAAAACTCCATGTTGCTGAGGCACAAATTCATCGGGGTAGTGGTGCTGGTAGTGGGGCCTGTGAGCAGCAGTCGGAACATCTTGTAGGCTGTGTCAGAGCTGACTGGCCAGGAGGCGAACTGGGCTGGGGAGTGGAAGGTGAGGTCGTTGACGTGTTGTCGAAGGTTGAACCACTCCTGCCCATCCTGGGAGCCCTGGGCATGTATCCAAACATTTTCAGATGCACACAAACAACTGTCCGCAACTGTACAACTGCATGCAAGGCTTCTCTGGGTATGCAACTACGTCTGCAGACTGTATTCCCAACCATGCCAGCATGCGCATAGTAGGTTTGGATGGAAAATGGCATCACTGCTGGCTGCCTCCAAGGTGCAAAGACATCGTTTCGTTTTGTGAAGGCAAATGCATTGCAAGGAATTCCATGGAGTCCTGCATGGAAATGTTAGTCCCTGTGGGTCCCTGCTGCAGCCTTCAAGTCGGACTGCAGATTGTCTGTGCCAAAACAAATAGGCATATCCTCCAACAGGCGCTGCCCTTCTAGCCTCTGATACTCGTTTCCTTGCTACAAAAGATGTTGCACAAGTGTCAAAGTGAAAAACGGATATTGGATGTCGGCCAGACCATCGCTGCCTCCATTTCATCCCAGGCGATTGAATGAGTCATCCATTCTGATGGCAGTGGAAAGTGCAGCACAACAGCACGGTGAAAAGCTTCAACGCAGTGCCTGTCCCATGCAAACATAACCCAGAACGGAATCTTCATAGTTTGCAAAGGTCAAGATCTCTTTGCATTTGCACACTCTGGTGATGTTTGGTGCTGTTCCCACTAACTGGGCAAATGACCACATGAATGGTGTCTGCGCTCCTGTGCACGATACACTTCTTTTGCTGTGCACAGAATGGATTCCTCACCTGAAGAGCCCAGTGTCGTAAGAAGTCGGAGGACCCATCGTGACGGATGGTGTAGTAGTTGCACTTGAGAACATGCTCAAGGAGGTCCAATGCCCACCAGGACGCCATGCGACCATTCTCATTGCGTGGAGTGGCATAAGAAGTCTTGGAAAATCTGTTTCCAGCGGCACCCTGATTCACGCTCAAGCACAGCAACAGTTGAGCCAGTATGCACGTTAAGTGCGTGCGCAGCTGGCACTCTTGCAGCACCCAATGCAAGTCCTGATGTCTGCCCCGATGGTCCCACATTCCCTTCTGAGGCATTAGCAGATTCTGTTTTGTGTTGGACAAATGCGATTATGGAGACAGTGCTCCCAAAAAAAGTTGTGACAACGTGAAAAGTGCATGCCATCACCTGCAGGGGCACCTCATCGTTTATGTTGCAGGCAATCAACTGTACAACAACACCCCTGAAACTGGGCCTCTGCTCAGACCAGTTGGGAGTTTTATGAATGCTCAAGTTGGAATATTGCATAGGAAAGAGACGATTCATAACGACCAACCAAGGCGACTTGACAAGATAAATACTTGTGGCAAGACACAATGGTTCTGAGCTCTGCCCTTAGCACGACATCAAACAATTGACCACACAAATCCTTCAAATCCTTCCAGAGCTTTCACCCTCTTAACCTTGTGCGAGAGGAGTTCTTCGCCATCGATCTCCCACAGCAGGTGACTGCACAAAGCTGATAATGCACAGAGCTGCTCATTCTTGACAACACAAGATGTTCACTTTCACAAGTCAACAATCCACAACAGTCAGTTGTGACTGTGAACAGTGCCCAAGCAGCCTAGCAGCACACACAGGTAGCTATTTGCCCCGAGCTAATAAGGCGAATCTCAGTGGTTGCAGCATCGAACAAAAAGATGCTGTCAGGCAACACCCCCAGAGAGCGGCCTCACCTTCACATTCGTGGTGCGGCTCTCAGGGCTACTGGCAAGCACCCTGACCTTGTTGGTGACTGTTGGGTTGACATACTCTGTGCGTCCACCCGATGTACCCAGGTAGTAGCATGCACCAAGCTTGTCCCCATTGAAGGAGAAGTTCAGTTGCTTGCTCAAGGGGGCTTGCCGGGGCATGTGGCGCCCCATGGCAGCACTTGATTTTTGGGACATCATGACGTTCCGAGTGTTGGCCACAGAGATGGCTGTGGGAGGATCGGGCACCTCCTGCATGGAAGGCAATCAATCCTCCTCTGCAATCCATGCAGCCAGTGGCCCTACATGCTACTGGGGCAGAACAATTTCGAGTTAGAACAGCAGGAGCCTGTTCTGTCCACTTCTGGTCCTTCCATGAGTGGGAAAAATGGAACGCAAATGCTCGTTACTTCTTTTGCCACAAGCATGACGTCAGTGCCCCTTCAACCACCGGGCTATGTCAGAACAGCTATGCACTACCTGTTTTGTGTTTGGTCCACAAGAAATGCAAAAAGTACCAATTCAGCTGGCTGTCAGACCTTAGCAGTTTAATTGAATGCTGCTGATTGGGGATATGTTTTGGCACAATTGGCGCAGTTCAACACTGCAGTCGAAACAATCCGCATCATAGCCCCAGCAGACCCTGCCTTGTTCCCACATATGTAGCACCATGCTTCAGGTACCCCTCCATCGTTGTCTTGTAAAGAGCTTGTGCATCCTTTTAAAACTCTTGACTGATGCTGCTGATGCAGCTCACTTCATGTGCACCAGCAATGGAATCGGGTCTTGCACAGCAGCCATGCTCTGAAACGCATCAGTTATGTCCGCACAGGCTCAGCTGTCAAAGCAGGTGTCACTTGCTCGAATCTGGTGATTCTGGCAAGCGAGTTCTCCCATCCATCCCTCTGCAGCATACCTGCCAGCTTGTGTGAAACGCATGGTTTGGACAACCGAGACCCCATCACCTTGCCTGAACTAGCTCAACAAGGCTGGGATTCGCTGGCATGCGCGGCTTGGAAAACCCAAATGATACTGAACAAGAACCAGGAAGAAAACCATGACTGAGAGGAGCACACAAGCGCAGGAAATCTCTGTTCACAGCCAGCTTTTCACAGTGTGGAATGCAGTCTGTGCAGAGCCAGACCAGCACACATTCAAAAACAACAAACTTAACAACCTACCACAGTGCCATCTCTCCCCCTTCCTCTTGATGCCACAGCTTCATCCAAAAGTTCAAGCAGAGGTGGGTAACGGCCTGCAAGGGGGAGTGCACGCACGACCTGTGCAGCCATGCTCTCATCAGACATGTTCAAGATAGCATTATCATCAAAAGGCCTATGCCACAGTAAAAGTTCACTGCCAAAGTATTCATTCACACTGCTTGAATCTACTCAATCACAAATTTGGTGCCTCAAGGGCATCCAGTGACAGTTTCTTCGTGCCACTTCATTCGGGGACTCGACAGGTCCTCTTCTTCCTTCTGTGAAAAACTTAGCGGCAACAAGCTGTACATTGCGACTTCTAGCGGTCAGCAAGAACAACCAGAGGATATTCTGCGAATGCGAACAACAGACAGCATGTCACCGAAACGATGCCAGAGCTGTGACTGCTCGCATTTTCAGCACATTCTAATCGAATAATGCAACAAGGCATAGATGCTTGCACCATGTTGTCAGATGAACGAAAGTGCTAAACTACACACTAAAGTGGACCAAGTGGCGGTCGAACAGTGGAAGACTTTTCATTTTCAGAAATTTCCACATCGAGTTTCAGAGTGCAGATGCCAGTCCCCACCTAAAGGTGGGAGGGACATTGAGTTCACATGCTGTGCAGCTTGGAGCTGCCAAAAAGGTGATTGAAAGCGTGCAGCTCCCACCTCAAGATCCTCATCTTTCATCAAGGGAAACTTAATTAAGGACAGCAGCTGTTGGAGCTCTTCCTCAGGGCGCAAGGGGATATCCATCGTCTGGTGTTCAGCACCATAAAAGCTCCATGCACTGACAGCATCGAAGATCGCCCGCTCATTTGAACACTGAAAATCACCCCAACCAGGCTTTCATGAACGCGAATCCGCTTTGCTGCCTTTGTTCAAAGGACCTTGCATTGCCCACTACTGCCACAGGTATCTGCTGGTCAGTGAGCAGCAGCCCACAGTCACGCTGCTACCTATTTGTGCCTAAGATCCACAAGCAAGAATGAAGGAGTGCATTTATAAATACGGTCGTGTTTTAGACACTGAAAGCTGAATCGAACAAGTGTAGATTCTCTTGTGCACGGATGAGGATACTGCATCCTGGTCCCCGAATGGTCCAGGAAACGTTAAATATATTAACCTGTTGTTAAGACTGCTTTCCCCTACCCTATACCGTAGTTTGCATCGAGTTGTCGAATGGATGTTTCCGTATTTAGAAACAACACCTATCAAGGCAAGGAGACAGCTGCAGCTCCCTCTTTCCTCAGGGAAAGCAAACAATAGAATATTGGGTCTTCTGCTGTTGCGGGTGCCTGCCTGCCTGTGACGACATGAGGTTAGCGTGTCAGCCCCCCCGCCATAAAAAAAAACATAGAATTACTATTGGGAGGTCGCAAGATATGATGCCCATGCTTCAAGCCAACAAGTGGGTCTTTCTGTGCCAGAAAGCATCTTTATCAGTCGTTGCTATTGCATCGGCGGAGCTATCCAGGAACGGTTCTCAATGGCTGCTGTGCCACCTTACTAAGGCGGCATTTGCCAATAGCACGGGTGCTATTGCTCACCTGCGCGCATCCCTAGTGGTGGGTGGCATTCTCACACCAGATAGCATCGCGGCAGCACTATAATGTTCTGTGCGAATAGCACCGGGTGCTATTCTGGCGTGCTATTTGGCCTCGAGCGGTGCTCTTCGGGCCCAAAATAGCACTGCTCGGCGCCGAATAGCATCGGCAGTGATGTTGGGGTGCTGTTGCTCCCCAACCGCTGATGATGGCTTTTTGACGTGCGGTGCTATTCGGATAGCCGAATAGCACCGCCGGTGCAATAGCACCCACCAATAAAGATGCCCTAAACCTAACTGCTAGGCTTCTTTGTTTGTCCTCCTGCGAAGAGTTTCCACAGCGCTAATACTTAGTCTCGGGGATGCCAGGGTGCAGCAACGGCCACTCATAATCAAACTTTCGTCAGGGTCTGTGTCTGTACACTTGCGCTGAGTACCGGGACGCCAGGACTTATCACGGCGATGTGTGATTCCTCACACGAGGCGCATCCCCCAATTCCCTCGCCCCCCCCGCCCCCCCCGCCCCCCCCCGCCCCTCCGTGGACGCGCGGACCCCACCATGGCCGGCGACTCCAGCAGCGCCACCAGCGCGCCGCACGACAGCTTTCCCAGCCACTCCCTGTCCTCTGCCACCTGGCCGAAGTGGTTGGCCAGGCACCGCACGGCCTGGCGCTTCAGCCGCTCCATGCCGGGCAGCATCGAGCTGGATATCATCTCCATCAGCCGCCCCGCCGTCTCCACGGAGTCGTCGCCCATCAGCGCGTCCACGCAGGCGGCGTACAGGCTGGGGATGGACGACGACACCCGCCTGCTGAGGGCGTCCCCGTCTTGCTGGGCGGGCACCTCGAGATCGACCCTGATGTTTCGGTAGCGCAGGTGGCGGTCCCACGAAGACAGCCCGATGGATGTGATCCCCTCCAGTGGCTCGGGGTCCACCCAGCGGAAGACGGAATCTGCCTCCCCCGCACCGACTGCAATGGCCCCCCGCGCGTCCACCTGGATCCAAAACTCCCGGAACTCGTCCCGCCTGATGGTGGCCCAATCGGCCTCGGCCTGGCAGACGAACACGCCGTTGCGCTCGATCTTGAGCTTCGAATTGCGGTGGCTGCCGATGATCACGGTGTAGCCCTGGTCGACGCCGCCGCGGTCGTGCTGCCACCGCCGAGACCCCGGGGTGTCCTTGAGGATCACCGTGGCGTCGTTCTCGCCCGCCACCTCGAAGGACACGCAGCCGCGCCCGGGGATCTTCTGCTCTGGGCTGGACAGCCACGCGCACTCCATAGGCGGGACGATGAGCTCGTCCCACCGCACGCGGATGAGGCTGCTCATGGCGGCCCCCTGGCGCGATGCTCCCCTCCGCCCCCCTCTACCCGCCGACCCTGCGCCGCGCAAACGCACCCCCCCCCTCACTCTTCAGCACACATCGAAGCGAAAAAACAGAGCCGGACGGGAAAATGCATCCCTGGGGCCGAATCGCGCGCAAAAATTGCGGTCGTGCAGAATCCGTGGTTTTGCGTCGATGCCAAGAGGTGGGGATGAAACAAGGCAGGGCGCGAGGGTTCGGGCGCACCGCCTTCGGCCCTGGACCGGCGATCCCGCCGCTCCGCTCGCCCGGCGCCGCTGCGGAGGGGCGGCACGGCTCTCTGCACTCTGACTGCTGCCCAAACGCGCGGCGCACTGCGCCAGGAGTGCCGAGGCGGCCGTTCGTTGTGCGTGGTGTCGCACGCGGGCAGGCGACACGTGCGTCCAGGTCATGCCCATCTGTGCCTGCCGGGGCGTTGGGGGCTTGGCGGCTTGGCGGCGCGTGTCAAGTCAAGTCGAATCAAGCCCTTTTGTTGGATATCTCTTGGTACTTCTGGTTTGCTGCGCCGGTTGGTCACTGTCCAGTGACGGGGCCTCTCGAGGGGGTACCTAATCGCGGGCAGCGCCCTCCGCCCGGGTATTCCGAAAGGTTTCAGCGATCGTTGGGCGACGGTTGCCATGCGCGGGGCACCGGGCGATGGCGCCGCCGGCCTCCAAAGTCATACCGGGGACGGGCTTCCTGGTGGACGGCTTCAGGCACGCGGGGCCGTCGGTTCGCGCGTACTTCCTGTCCCACGCGCACTCAGGTTGGCGGACAACACCCCTGCAATTCAGGGAATTTGTTCCCCATCTGTGTACCTTTTTGGATTCCGCGCGTCCGTGCTGTCCGCATTAGGGACGTCCACCGCCAAACGACGAAGGGAAGTACTCCGCACTTGTGTTCCACGCAATCTGATGGACCACGGTAGCTGAGCCCCCCCTTGCCAGGCTCCCGCCAGAAACGGCGAGTGGCTTCCGGGCTCTCTCGCCGACTGTCGGCGGCGAAGGACCTCGCCCGTGCCGCATTCGGACACGGCCCCGCCCAGTGCCTGCCGATATGGTGCGATGGCCGGTGTCGGAAGCACACAAATCATGGCCAAGTAGCAAGGGCAATCTTCAGCTGACCAGAGTACTGCAGATCATCTGCCATTTTTTTGCGATTTCCCCTTTGCAGAGAAGAACAGTGCCCTCGCATCTCACGTGCCAGGTTGGGCAAGTAGGCAGCCGCAGAGGTATTCTTGTGAATGCACTACTGTCATTGTAGCAACCAAGGGAGGGGATATTTGGAAGTCTCGTACAGCTTGTGTCTGGTAGCGTTCAAGCGCATCAGTGGTAGTATTGATGGGCCACGAAGGCTTGATGTGACCCTGTTGGAGGGTAGGATGTCTGCATTCGGCTCCCACACCCAAGGCATGGGAGCTTGTCATGGTCAGATGGGCGGCATTGGAATTTGTGTTGATGTCTTTGTCGGCAACTCATGCTCGAAGCCTCTGTTTAGCAGAATTTGCAGTTCAGTTGTTTTGGAAAGCATGCATGATAATGATTGACTTACATCGATCAGCAGCTGCTATTTACTGCTCTTCTCGCAATATCGGATGGCATATCAGTGTCACGTGATTGAGCTTTCACCTACAGCTATGTCCTCTCTTGCGTTGAACATATAAACCGATTTCGCGTCTTCACCACCCCCCAAATTTCGAACAAATACAAGAGCATGTACGAACTTTTCCACCATATTTGTACATCAAACGGTTCTGTTATTGAAGGAGTGGTTGCTTATTCGGCACAAATAGGCACATGTCAAACGAGAACTTGTGTGAATCTTGAGGTGGTTTTGAAGCACGCCATTTTGGCCCCCTAACAATGCAACTTGAGCCCCCACCACAAAGCGGAGGCAGGTTGCCATCAGGGCTATTTTGGTGATGCAGCCTGCCATTTGGGGCAAACTGAAATGGTAGAAATTGCATGGCATCACTGGGTGGTTAATAAAAGTGAGGCATGTGGTCTTCCTGTGTGGACGTCGTTTTCTATCTCTTAGCACAACTTAATTTGCACACACTGTCATAATTGTCATTTAATTTGGGTGGAGGCAGTAGTTGATTTGGAGCACATGCAAACACAAGTTCCTGGTTGCTGGTTTTCTTCTTGTTGAGCTTTGTTTGTTGCTGCAGATCATTATACAGGGCTGAGTGAGACATGGAGCCAAGGATCAATATACTGCAGCGAAGTAACTGGCCGGCTTGTTGTGCATATGCTTGGAGTCAATCCCAAGTACATCCATGCGTTGCCAATGGACATCCCTCGAAATGTTGAAGGTATGCAGGGGTGAGGGGGTTCCTGAGTGACCCAGGTAATGTGTGTGTAAGCAGAACTATCTAGTTGTATTTTCATACTTGCGCACATTATGCATGCGCCGGATATTGAAACAATTTGATGTGACTATCAAATGATGAAAGTGATGAAGGTGTGCATCGCTTGATTCCCCATCGTGGGATTTTCTTGCGAGACATTTTAGGGAGCCAATACGCGCAAATATTGGTCAGCTTGCCCATCGTCAATCAAGAATTCAGGAAAGAACATTTTGTTGTGAATAATGATCCAGCAACATAGCTCATGTGTGCCTCAGCAAGCTTCCCAGCCCTTCGGGTGCTCTGTTCAGGTGGACAACACAATTGGGGATCGTCATGTCAGCATCTTTTGTTGTCACGTTGTCGAGTGCTGTTTGGCATGCCGTTGTTCGCCCTCCTGCATGCACCAACACCTAAATGTGCTGCTATTTGGACTCAGCAGTGTATCCAATAGAGCAATGGGCTACATGGATGCTCCTGGCCCATAAACATTTTGACACCTCTCCCCAACCCCCCTACCCCTCCCACCCACCAACCCACACACACACATCCTATAGCTCCCATACTGTGTGTGGCAAAGGGGGAATTTAGCCCTGCCTGCATGTAATTTGACATTTGACACACACACACACACATCCACACCACATGCACTCGCACACCACACACATGATATCTGGTACTAACCAGTAGTATACGACAGTATCTGGTGGTACCCAGGGACATCCGGTTATTGATTGCTTACAGCTGTGCTACTGTTGTTAGGTGTGGAAGTCATCCTTGTTGATGCCAACCACTGCCCCGGTGCTGTCCAGTTCTTGTTCCGCTTGCCAGATGGACGGCGATATGTGCACTGTGGCGATATGAGATACTGCCCGGAGATGTTGATGCATCCTCACCTGAAAAGGTGCATCGGGGCACGTGCACTGTTCCTGGACACAACTTACTGCAACCCAAAGTACACCTTCCCGCCCCAGGTTTGTGGGGCATCTGCGATGCAAAAGTTTGTTAGCTCCGCTGAGGGGTGTCTCTGCCTGTCCATGGGTTGTTGAGAATGTCCTCAGCGGCATAGAGTATGTCATTATTTTGCCGAGATTTTCATTTCTGAATTCATGTACATCTTGCACTCAAGCTGCTGAGTTTCTCTGGCTTGTGGGAGTCGATTCGCCTGTGTCTGGCCTCTAGTTTTTGGGTGCGTTCCTATGCCTGGATGTGAGTTTGTATCTTCCTTGTCCACAGGCTGTCAAATTGGCTTGTGGGGGGCAGCGTGTGTCCCATCTTTGCTCTTGTGGTATCTAGCACTTCTGTAGGCTGACAACCTTCGCCCATCTATCCTATGGAATGTTGAGCACAGAGCTTGCATCTCGGCTTTGAGGGGCAGCAACAGCTGGGCAGTGTAGACGTGCTGGTCCATTTCAATCCAAACAATAGCTGAATCTTTGCGTGTATTCTCCAAAATTCATACTACAGCAGCAAAAAATGAATTCAAAACGGAAGTTAAGATGGGACCATTGCCAACTGCGTGTCTGGATGTTCCTTGAACCATTCACACCATATAATTGTGCATCCGGCTGTCTGTTTGTGCGTTCAGCAGTTCCAAAACTTGCCCTCAGGAGTTGTCCCCGATCTGACTGCAGGAGATATCAATGCTGGCAAGCGTTTTTTCTCTCCAATGCAAATGAGTATCTAATCATGTCCATGACGTCAAACTCAACGTCAGAATGGGGGTTTCTCGCTGTTGTTTGCCCAGATGACCATGAGTGCCTATCCTGTACACAAGGCCATCACAAGTTTAGATGTTGTGAAATGTGGGTGAGCACACATTTTGTGCTTTTATGTTTCGTTCAGTACTTTATGTTCATGCTTAATGCTTATGTTTTGCTCATATTAGAGCCAGACGTGGGTGGAGGGCGATAGCAGAAGTAGCCCAGGCTTTGAAGCACATCGTTAATACGTTGTCTGTGACTGAGATCAGTTCATTCTTTTTGCAGAAGGAGTCAATAGACTATGTGGCCACACAGATCGCTGGCCTTCTCAAGGCGGAAGCTGAAGGTGGCCACAAGTGCGCTTTTCTTATCAGTACATATGGCATTGGCAAGGAGAGAATACTTCTTGAGGTGCGTGGGTGCAAAGCCAGCCACTAGTCTGTGGCAAGTTGCTGTGGCTCAGATTTTGGATTGATGAGTAAGAGGTGGGTTGCACATAGCCTGCTATGGAAGCTTTAGAATGTAGTTGAGCCCCCACTACCGCCCACTTGATGACGGGGGTTGTGCAGGAAGAGAGTCCCCGAGCAGGACTGAACTTCCTCTTTGTCTTCTCTTCGGCCAGTGTTGTACTTGCAGTTGTCCTGCAACACCTTTTGCTTTGCAGAAGGGTGTCCATTTCATGTTCTTTATCCTGTGTCATTGAGACTGTCTTTGCCTTGGGTGAACATTTCTGGAATAGCAAATTCGGGAAGATTTGTTTCTGGGCATTAACTTCATCTTCTATTGCCTTTTTATGGTCTGTTGTCACTGTGTCATGACTGTCATTCTGCAGGTGCATCGTCGATGCGGCGTGCGTATATCTGTCACGGACCGTAAATACGGAGTGCTGCAGTGCCTTGAATGGGAAAATGAAAGTTTCAGTGACATCTTTACAGTGTGTGCTGAACAAACTCCAGTTCGTGTGGTGCGATGGAACTTCTTGGGCGATGTGTGGCCATTCTTCAAACCCAATTTTGTCAACATGGAGGCCTACAGAGCGGAGGCTGGGGTTGACAAGGTGGGCCTCTTTGGTGGCTGTGAGGTTTCCGCTTTGCTGCCCTGCAGAAATTATGTTTGTCACAAACAAAAGCACAGCAAAGGTTGACTGTTTGTTCATATCTGCAGCATAATCGCAACTCATCGTGATGGTGGCGTCTCTGCATGAGGGGAGGCTCTGCCAGATCTCTCCTTCGCGTTTTCTAATATTTGTTTTATTCCAGATCGACAGTCTTGAGGCCCCATTTTGATAATGTCAGGGAGATAAGTGTTCCAGAGCAGTACATCGCGTGCCTTCGCAAGCACATGTAGCTGCCTTGCTCGTTTTACTGTCAGCAGGAGCACACAAACAGGATTATGTTTGGTCGCATGACGCCTTTCCCTGTCATGCGGATTACCCTAAACCCCCAGCCTACGGTGTCATGCCCAGTGATATCCCCCACTTGGCATCACGAGACCCCAGATACTGGTGGGTTATTATAAATTCTGCTGTTGAGCATTCTCAGCAGCACAAAAGTGAACGCCATTTGATCTTGAGTGCTGTGTGGGAAATTTAGTCGATTGAGGGCAGAATGTGGTGGTGACTGCACGTGTGTGGAGATGTCATTTTAAATTGCAGAAGACATGTCATGTGTAGGGCATCCCATCCTGGCAAGAATATGTTGGGCCCTTGCTGTGTTGCAGCACTAGCTGGCGGCTGAAGTGAAGAAGAGCATGTGTACGTATGATTGCATTTATCAGATTTGTGAGAAGGTGACAAAGAATAGCCATCTGCATGCTTGCAGATGTTAGATACATGCCTGCACATTGATTCGCGAGATTAGTGACCTTCGATAATACCAGCATGCAAAAATAGCTCCATTTGTACATCAGCGAGTTTCCCATCTGGTGTGATATGGTGGCGTGTGGGCAGGTTGTTGGGTTTGTGCCGACAGGGTGGACTTACGATTCTAAGCGTGCCAGCTTCGATGTCCGTCGCAAGGGTGCCTGTGAGGTGCACCTGGTTCCTTACAGTGAGCACTCGAGCTACAGTGAGCTCAGAGAGTTTGTCAGAGGGATGAAGCCCCGAGAGGTGAATGGGCGCTGATGCTGTGTCCCTATGCATTGAAGCCGTCACCATGCCTGCCTGCGATCCTGAGGAACTGTGCATCTCAAAGTCGAGTTTGTTGAACATTGTTCCTTGATGGAACGGATATCTGCTGTCAATGGGTGCCACATTGATGTCGAATGACCAGCCAGGCCTGTCTGCCCACAAGATGTGAAATCACAGTCAGTCTCTATTTGTGACTGCCACAAGCTGTCTCCTTGAAGACATTCTCTGCCACAGCCTGAACACAACTCACTGGCGGCCCGTTCCCAGCATGTTGGTTGCATCTAGTAATCATCTACTTCCAGCAATAGTATTGCTGGCAGTAGTCTAACAAGATATGGGTTTGTCATAAGGGTTTTGTACGTTGATGGGCAGAATGAAGATGCCACAGGGGGCAGCTTCCATCGTGCTTGTTGTGCAGCGGTCTGTCAATCAATCAGTGAAGATTCCAGTTGCATGGATAAGTCACCTGGGAACGATGCCTTCCTCTGTATCACAGTAGAGCAACCTTCGTAGAAAAATATTTGCCCCAGAGCTACAATGCATCGGTAGCTGCCACATTGGTAGGAACGTGCTACTGTTCAAGCACAGCATCAGCGGCAGCACCTGCCTGAATTAGATGGCCCAGCAGGTCATCCTCCCGCACTGCCTCCTGGCCTTAACACGACCCTAATTGTCATGCTTAAGTCTTGCAATGAACATTACCGGCTTGGCTGAGAACTGTGCTTTGCTTATCCAGCATTATTTTCATGGCTGTCAAATTGGTTTGCAACCCAACAGCACTGACAGACTCACTTCAAACTTACTGCAAGAGAGCCGTTGGGTGGCATCGAGGATTGCAAATGTCTCCCTGCCACAGTTTCAGACATTCGTGTTTTGTATATGCTGGTGAAGATCGCCACCCTTGACGCTCGCCTTTTGCAGTTTGTAAGCAATATCATGTGAAGCTCTTCAGCTTTTATTGTGTGGACGGTTCGGTGAGGCCAAAGTTGGATACCGCAGTTGCAAATGAAAGTTTGGGCGTGCAGACTTGAGTAGATCATGAAGTCATAGTAGTATGTATATTTTGAGGAGCAGCACAACATATGGCTGTCTTTTGTACATGCTTGTCTAAAGTCAGTTTGGTGGCAGGCGGCTTTGAGGGGATTGTGATGCCTGCTGTTCTGTAACTGTTAAGTCAACATCATTTGTATGGTGTTGGGCTTGTTGTTATCGCATAGAGTAATAACATCCAAGGGGTCCCGCTGGCCAGCTTGCTCAAATGCTCAATAGAGAGCATTAGTATGCTGGTTTGCTGTATTAGAATTGTCCGCCACCTTGTGTTTCTTGTTTCCAATCTTCATCAACTGTTTGCTTTCAAACAACTGGAAGCCTGCGCACAGTGTCTTGCAGTGTTGTTAGCACGTGTTGCAAAGTTAACATTTGCGACGGACACGCGATGCACAAAAAGGGGGCGTTTGAGGTCCATGACCTCCCAGTGCTCCCTGCTGCGCAACAACACAGACTGCTGTGAGTGCATGACAGTTGACAATAAATGCTGCAGCAATTTGTCGTCGAGCTTATCTGGATCCCATCATTCATTTAACAATGATGTCCTTCTTGCAAGGACGATGTGAAGCGCAGCAGCATGCTGGGCTGGCTTACAACCTCCATGATTTTGCCAAGACATAGCAGCTGACCACTGCCCTTTCACCTACTGGGTAACATCAAAATATTGTATGGCCACAACTGAAAAGCAGTCACAGCACAACAGTGTCATGCAAAGCGTACTTTCAGTGTCATGTGCTCTCCAGCTCACAACACAGGTACAGCCCTAGGTGCACATGTTTGCTGGATTCGATCCCTGATGCAAACTGGTACAGCAATCGAAAGTCAAGTTGCACGTTACATTCTCAGCTTTGAATGTATTGAGCGGAATAACGAGCCGCACATGCACGTCCTGCTCATGATGTCCTGTCAATCTTGTGACAGCATTTGCACAAGCACAGCAGTAACAACTGTCAATGCCATGGTGTTCCTGGCACGTAACCACCTACCTACTGTCTGGCCCCACCTGGCTGTTGCAATAGCTTTGCAGTGGTACTTTCTTAACATGCAATCACAGCGCGGATGAGGAACTGGGAAACGTATCTGCCGCCACATGCGCATGACAGCATTGATTGTTCTGGCCTACCTGAATGGAAGTGAACTTTCAATACATGCTGAGTAGAGCAGCGAACAGACAAGTCACACCCTTGCACCAACGACTCACCAGCACATCATGCAGAACAGTTTGTGTTTGGCCTGTTTGAGACGTTATGAAACTAATGTGCAGGTCATTCCCACAGTCGTCAACGACAAGGACACCAATGGCAGGAAACAAGCTGTTTTGTTGAGGCACTTCCGAAACCTGGTGGACGAAACGGCATCCAAGGCAGACTTCCTTGAGTCGATCCGCAGGTCTGCGGTAAGTGCCAAAAGTCCACAACTCACTGGCTTCCAAACAGAGGCAGCAGAAGCAGGAGAGTGTGCCCAAGATATTCTGCCTAGCAGCCCCAGGGTGGCAATGGAATCATTCTCAGCCAGTGGGAATCAAGAAGGTCAGAATGAAGCTGATGTTGCTGGCATCATGGGAGTTGCAAGTGCTGATGCAGGTGGCGCAGGCCAAAGGGAAGAACAATGTGTGGTTTCCTGTCGCAAGGATTGTGTGGAAGACAGCAGGGTAGGTTGTGCAGGCTGCCCTGGATCTGGTGAGCTGGAAGGGTATTCAGAACATTTATCTGGCTGCAAAGAGCAGGATGAAGCGGGAGGCAAGGCAAGACTGTCTACACGGGGCAGTGAGCAGTGTGACCACAGCATGCGATGTGTTCAGATAGTTCAACAGATGCCTTCTAGCAAAGATGGACTCCCAGCAGTGCCGAAACTGCACAGTGAGTTGGCCCCTGAAACCTGCAGCTTTCAAAATGTGCAACCTGGCATTTGTGAATCCCTAGAGGCTACATCTGCTTTCGCATCCATGAGCACCGATGGGCAAATAGCAGAAAAAGCAACTGTGCACACCTGCATACCCGCTGCTAAAAGGGAAGTCAAAGACTCCATCAGTCTACAAAGTGGAGCAGACAGCCTGCGTGCAAGCCTTGGGGTTGGTAATCCGTCTACAGGCAACAAAGGAATGGAGAGTGGAGGGATTGAGAGGGCTGGACTCAAGGAAGCCGTTGGGAAAGTCTTGGCAGTCTTGTCCAACCAGGTCAGCGAGCAGGAGGCCACACAGTTGCTGCAGTCTGCGTGTGGCCAAGTCGAAGTTGCAGTGAACATGTTCTATGATGGAAACCGGTCTTGGCGTTCGCCATCATGTGTTGAATCAGCTTCAACCCGGGAGGCTCGGAGCAGGAAGAGCCGCATCAGTGCCGCAGGTGTGGCTGTAGCTAGGAAGCAGGGCACACCAGGCAAGGGAAATTCACAGCGATCGATAAAGTCATTCTTCTTGAAAAGTGGGTCAGAATTGTCCAGTCAAGTCAATGCCGGCTCTGGCTGCTTGCCACAGGGGGAACACATCGGAAGGCCATTGGCAGGAGTGCAGGAATCTGCTGGTGGAAGAGATGGTGGTGTTAGTGTCAACCCACACAACTCTAAGCAAGAGGGACTGAGTTTCTCTTTCTTGGGGCCCTTGGTGGATTCTCACGATATTTGTCAGGGAACCAGTGACAAAAATTGTAACCTGTTCAAGTCAGTCGGGCCTCAAGATCAGCTCTCAGACTCAACAGTGCCTCTTTCTATTGGTTCCGACGATGAAGATGGCAGGGCATGCAAAAGACCAAGAATACAACCCCGCCCTGGTGCAGAGTCTATGAGCATTCTTGGCAGAAACGATGGCCCAGCAAATGATGGAATTAGCGAAATATGGACATCAGAGCATGAGATTGCACCTGTGCCACCAGGAACAGCGCTTGGGGAGGGACATATAAGTGATGATTTTGCAGGCCACAATGCACCAGTTGTGCATGAGCTCGAAGGAAAAGATGCCCAAAATGCAATGGAGTATTGTCATGGGAGTCGAGCACTGCAGGGGACCCCATCGGCAGTGCAAGATGCTGTCCTCAAGCCCTTGGAAAATTATGACCCGGTGAGAATGGGGCATGGGCGCAGCCGTGTCCAAATGGCTGTTCAGTCCTTTATTAGTGAGCATCCATATCATGGACAGCATTTCGCTTCTTTGTCTGCTTTGTTGCACAGTTCCTGCACTGATCAGGGCTGTCCAGGACAGATGAAATGCTGACTATATGGCTACAAGCCGAAATGTGCACTCACGCCAATTCAATGTTTTCTTGCTGATTGCACCTTGTAATCTCCACTGTAGAATGGGCAAAATGCTTGTCAAACCACAAGTTTCAGTGCAAAGCAACACCAAAAGTTGTTGTATTTGCTGCCTCCCCTTATCAACAGAGCGAATTTGTGCATCAATCGCATTGGCAACTGCATCACCCTCTACTGATCATAATGGCACCTGTGATACTGTGAAACACCAACCCTCATGTGCACCTGGCAGCACCATTTTCCTCAGCAGCAAGACTTGCTGAGCCTCACATCAGGTTGTCAGGTTGCAGATGCATGTTGGCACAAGGGTGATCCGCCACCATACCTCCACATCGCTAGGACATTCCATGCCCTTGACTCTACCACCAAGCGGCTCAAGATCGGAGACGCCCTCACGAACATGTTCCGATCTGTGCTGGCCCTCTCTCCGGAGCACCTCCTGCCAACTGTGTACCTCACAGTGGGGAAGGTTGCTCCTGACCATGTGGGTGGCGAGCTGAATGTGGGGGGCAGCACAGTGGCAGCCACGATCACAGAGGCCACCGGAGTCAGCCGCAGCCGTATGAGTGAACTGTACAAGCAGCTTGGTGACTTTGGAGATGTTGCTCAGGTGAACTTGTTGGTCATTGTCAGCCTGCTTTCTTTTGGTGCAGTGTACGCTGCTGTTTGGAGATAAAGCAGCTCATCTTCAGGCTGATATGCCACCACAACAAAAGGAGGTTGCATTAAATCGTATGTTAACATGCTTGCCATTGCTGGACGCCCAGTGTCAGCTGATGTAGCATGTATCATGATGTCCTGAATATTTAGCAGAGCAAGACGTCGTGCGAGCAGCTGCCAACCGTCCAGTGTCCTAACATGTGCAGTTGCAGTGCCCGGCGATAGGTGCCTTGTGCTGCAAGGCTTATCAAGTGTAGCTGTCCCTCTGTCGCCCATACCATGGCTGATTCTGCGTTTCTGTGGGGGTAATCACCACTGCCCAATGTTCCCATCCCAAACCTCACCTCTTCAGCGGCCCTGAGTCCACAAATACGTGTTTGACTATGCCAGACACTCCAATGCATCTGAGCTGTGCATCTGGTTGATGCACGCCATTGAGAAGCTGTGCCTCTGTATGCACTGACAGACCTGGAAGTTGTGGTTTCCGGAACCTTTCAGTGTGGTCCTTGTGAACAAATAAAATCAATTGTTGTCCCACATTCATTCCTCAGCAGTGACACAATATGTGACCTCGGTGTTGCAAAACATTTGGTGCAGTGATACATTCAGTCATGAATTTTGGAAGTGGACATCCAGTGGCCTAGCTTGCTCAAACAGAAAGCTTGTGGCTGTGCTTTTCAGGTATGCCGCCGCAATCAGTCCACCCTTGTGCAGCCGCCACCTCTGACAGTCCCAGGTGTATTCGCGACGCTGCAGCAGATTGCCAGTGAGAAGGGCCAGGGCGCCATGCGGCGGCGCCAGCGCCTGGTGCTGTGGCTGTTGCGGGCATGCAGGGAATGGGAGACCACCTATTTGGTGCGGACTCTGATTCAGAACCTGAGGGTAGGGGCAAGCTGGCGGTCTGCAGTGGAGGCGTTGGGCCGTGCGTCCGTCATTCACAGGTGTGACAGTCAGCAAATGAAGAAATATTGCAGCATTCTCATTATCTGTCAGAGTCTGTTTCTTTTCATACCTGTCATGAGGTATTCTGCTTTAACTGGTTGATGAGTAAGTACACCTATTAGTTTGTGCGATACTTTTAAAACAGGTAGCTTGGAATCTGGAATAGCTGCAAAAGATGCAGAAGCGGTGGAGCATTACTGCAGGCCATTGAAACAAAACGGCCTCAAAGGTGCCACTGATTGCAGTGCTTTGTTTTGTCTGGTTCCAAAGCAATACATGACATATAACAGTCCAGGTGTCGGCCGTCCTTACAGAAGAAATGTTCAGACAGAGACAGCAACAGGGGTCTTCAACATGATGCGATGCTTGGCATCAAACGGGCAAAAGAAATGAACGAGTGCTTGAAGAATGCAGTGCTTGTGAACGCAAATACATCCAGTTTGCTGAGCTGTTTACCACATGGTAGTGTGGTATTTGTCACATGGGCCCTTGAGTCCCTGCTCACCGTTCTTTGATCATTAGCATGTTTCCTTTCCCAACCCGCTGTAGGAGATTTCCAGAGCATCCATTGTAGCATGGATCCCCTGTTGGGGCTACTGTGGGATTGGCAGTGACTCCTGTCTTTCTTTGCATTTGTATCCGTTTTGTCATTTGCACCCATGTCAGGATTCTCTTAGTTCTTTCCCGCCCCCAAAGCCACCCTTCAATCCCCCATTCGTTTTCAGGATGCTGGTGCATGTTGTAGGACTTGCCTATTGCTTCGTCTGCCTTCCACCTTTAATCCATTGTTGCTTGGCTTATTCATAGCACTTTTGTTTGCTTTCCTTCCAGAAGAGTTGTTCCCTAAGATCATGCAACAGATTTTAACTCAGCTGAAACAAGCGTGATTGGCATTCCACAGAGAGGGGCGTGTGGTCCCCAAGGCCCAGCAGGAGGCCGCCTCGAGTGCCGTGGCATCTGCCTACCACATGTGTCCCAGCTTCGACGCCCTTGTCCCTGTGCTAGTCGAAGGGGGTTTTGAAGAAGTCCAAAGGAGGTATGGCACAACGAGCACCTGCCAGTTTCGATAGGGTGCATACTACTACGCATTATTAAGCTACACTTGAAGAGATCACGTGCAACGCCCAGCCTAAATTGAAGAAATGCGGGAATTTTCCCGCCTCGCAAGACTGTGCATGGGAGTGTGCGGCCCCGAACAGATTCAGATTTTCAATATCAACTTCGTGTTGCTTGCGATCACAAACGCGCCTCGTGCCGGCTTGCGCTGTGTGACCAAGTGTGCGAAATTCAATCTCAGACGCAGAGCATCTGTACAATAAATCCCGCGGAAACTGTGTTGCTTGGCCATATGCTGTCCTCTGAGGCTTGAACATGGTTCTTTTAGGTGAGACGGAGGTGCTCGCTACAGGTGATACAGATGCTGAACTTGTTAGGGTTTTGTTCATTTCGCACACAGCCACAGGCTTCACCGGAGCACTACAGTCCTTGCCGTTTTCGTTCCTTATGTACCTGGCTGCACAGGGGCCCATAGACCTGCCATTTATTTCAGTTCCTCATTTCAGCAACAAGGTTGAGATCACCAATGCGAGATTTTTCATTCCACCGATTTGTGAATTGCACCAATCCGACTAGATTGCGAAGTGAAACGAGTCGCATGGATTGATGTTGGAGTAAACATGCTTCAACACTTCCTTGCAAATCTGTTCATATTTCCCATTGAAAAGCCGTCTGATGTGTTTTGCAGTGGCCTTTTATTGATCTCATTCCTCCGCCTCTTTTGCCCCGTGTTGTTGGCGAGCCTCCACAGCACTGTGACTTATTGCAGGGGCGTGTCTGATGGCGCTGTGCTCGAAGCAGGTGCACACTGCTGCCCGGCGTGCCTGTAAAGCCGATGCTCGCCAAAATCTCTGGCGGCTTGGAGGACGCGGTGGGGCAGCTGCGAGGGGCGCCATTCCTGGCCGAGTACAAGTATGATGGCCAACGTGCCCAGGTGAGGGCTGTTTTCCTTCCGTGGGCTTTTGCGCCCTGAGTTTATTCCACACCCCAGTGCTTGTGAAGTGCAGACGAGCTTCCCTGATTTGGCTTGTGGAGATTGTCCACAAAGGCAACGCCCTCCTGTTCAACACTGTTGTAACTAGAACTGATTGAGTATTATTAACAGATGGACGCATAAACAAGTGATGAGGCATTAGGACTTGCAATAAGGACATTGATGAACGGACTGGATGTAAGGGGCAGAATTCCTGTTGTCCCTTGCTCGGCTGTAAACCGTTGCCGTGGACTCGAGCCTACGATCCCCAGTCAGTGGTCGTCACCCCTCCACCCTGCCTGCCTTCGGCAGCACCTTGTTTCATTTTTCTTCACCTTTCGTTATCGAGACTGCATACAGTCCCGCCCAAAGCACTGACGGGCCAAAAACTGACCCAGGTGCACCTCCTGGCCGATGGATCAGTCTCCATCTTCTCCCGACGCTGCGAGGACAAGACGGCCGCCTTCCCGGACGTGGCGGCGGCCGTCCGTCGCGCCGCCTCCGCCTCCACCCTCATCCTTGATGCCGAGATCGTCGCGGTGGACCGCCAACACGGCAACCGCCTGCGGCCCTTCCAGGAGCTGTCCCGGCGGGCGCGCGCGGACGTCTCCGCGGACGGCGTGGCCGTCGACGTCTGCCTGTTCGTCTTCGACGTGCTGCAGCTGGACGGGGACGCGCTGGTGAAGGCACCTCTGAGGGCGAGGAGGCGGGCGCTGCGCAGGGCCCTGGCCTTCACGCCGGGAGAGGTCGAGATGGCGGTGTCCATCGAAATCAGCGACGGGGAGCATGCGAAGGATGGGGCGCCCGGGGGGGAAGGGACGCCTTTGCGCGGTGGGGAGGGCGTCGACGGGGCTCGCGCATCGGCGATCGCGGGCGGCCGGAGGGATCCGGGGGGCTGTGGTGGAGGGGATGGTGCCCCCGGAGTGAAGGGTTTGACGGCGCCCGGTGCACGGGAGAAGGGCCCGGTTTCCGTTTCGACGGAACCCACGGACCTGGCGCGGGGCGAGGCGGGGCTGACGGCGTCCATGGACGTGGGCGGCGATCATACGGGCCTGGACGCGCAAGCGGGGGAAGTTAATCGAGAATCCGATGGCCCGACGGTTGATCGTCAGGGAGCGCGGGGCCAGAGAGGCGACGGGTCGCCGTCGACGACCCGGCGTAACGACGTTCCGGTTTCCGTCCCGACGGGCACGACCGCCTCTTGGGATCGGATGGAGCAAACGGACGGCCGCCAAGCAGCGGAGCGCTGCGTGGTGTCCCGCGTGGCAGATTTTCTGATGCAGGCGCTGTCCACGGGCGCGGAGGGACTGATGCTGAAGGCGCTGGACGACGCCGGCTACGAGCCCAGTCGGCGCTCCGAGCAGTGGCTCAAGGTCAAGCGCGACTACTGCGAGGGCCTGGCCGACTCTTTCGACCTGGTGCCCATCGGTGCCTGGCACGGCAGCGGCCGCAAGCACGCATGGTTCAGCCCATTCCTGATGGCCGTCTACTGCCCCGTCGCGGAGGAGTACCAGAGTCTGTGTCGGGTGATGTCGGGCTTCAGCGACGCCTTCTACACGGAGGCCACCCGCCGCCTGACCGGCACGATCGCGCCGCGCCGGAAGGCGTACTACAACACCGGGGAGTCGCCCAGCGTGTGGTTCGAGCCCACCGAGGTGTGGGAGGTGCGCGGGGCGGACCTGACGCTGTCGCCGGTGCACAGGGCGGCGGCGGGCCTGGTGGCGGGGGACCGCGGGGTGGGCCTAAGGTTCCCGAGGTTCGTGGGGGTGAGGGCGGACAAGGGCGCCACGGACGCCACGTGCCCGGAGGAGGTGGCGGAGGCGTTCCGCAGGCAGGCCAAGGCTCCGGCCGGCGGGGCGGCCCCGGCGGCCGCGGGGAGGGCCTGGGCGGGCAGCGAGGGGAACAGTGAATGAGGCGACGGTTGGGCGGTCGATGGTCTTTCTTGGGGAGCATAGGGAAGTGACGCCGGCCGCCTGGCCTTGGCTGGCGAGAGTCAGAATGGTTGCAAGCCTTGGATTTGCATCAGGAGGATCTTTGACGCCATTTTCCTGGGGCGATGTGGGGAGCCTGCGGCTACCACCTCGCCTGCATGTGTAAATGTTGTTTTTTGCGACTGTACGGTCATTGTGTGGCTTCCGAACTGCTCTCCTGGCGGTTGTTGAGAATCTGATACCTCTGTGATGGCGCTGGCGTCCTGGAATGGACCCAAGCTAGAAACCTGTTCTGCTTGCATTCCTGCAGGCCGCCGCCCAACTGCTGTGGTCAGCCGTTGCAAGAAGGCGATTTTGATGTGCTCAGCTGGTCGGCTGGCTTGCTGAAGCAAAAAATCACACAAAGCACGCAATTCTGTTTCTCAGTATCGGCCCAAGCGAAGGAACGCACCCTGACCCAAGAGATTCCCTGGAGCCATCAATCTACACTCAGAGAAACAGATATTTGCAGCTGGCATCCACAACTCCTGTGCAATTGCAGCAACGCACGCCTCGAGGTCCGTTAACGCTGACGTCGTCCTTTCAACCACGTCAACACCTGGGGTTCACCTAGAGTTCCGTCCGCAAATGTGGGTTGGGGATTGGGGCGGTATGGCCAGGCTTCCAAACCACCTCCAAGTAGCACATCCCTATAAGGCATGTATAGTGATGCGAGTATCAACACAAGGACTGACACTAAAGGGGCGTCGAGTTTCACACCACTTCGACGTTAAGCATAACGACATCGCTGCAGGTCACCACTTGCCAGATGTTCATGGTCTGTCACACACAAGCCTGACCATCAACCGACATTTCTGCTGCCATGACTTCCTGAGTTCCCTGGACAAACACTGCAGGCTGCTCAGACGCCAACTACAAGGCCCGTAGCAACCTATTGCCCCAAAGGGCTCCCATGTTTTGTGCTGCACAGCTTGCAACAACTTGACACACACGGCTTGACAGTGATGACTGGAACCAAGAAAGCCACTTGGCCCAACGTAAACTATTGCTCTGAAGGGCACCAATACACTGCGCTACACAGAAAGCAACAACTCGGCACACGCACACTTCAAAAGCGATGACAGAAATTAAGACAGCTGGACGAAGGCCAGTAACTTTTAACCATTCAATTCATGCCACACGACACTGCCACCAACGGCGAGCGCCAAAACAGCCTGGAATCGTCCCAGATGCACCTAACCCGCAACTGGCAGCCTGGGAAGGAATGGAGATCACATCCAGATCCATGTAGTTTCAGTGTGCCAAAACTGTGGGGCACAACAACACCTCCATCTCTTCTGCACAAAGAGTGCGTCGTTGCATGTGTTGTGCCTGTCCATGCCCAACCCGTTCGAACTGCACAGACAATTAATGTAACAAATTGAGAGCAAGCGCCACCGACAACGTGCATCTGCACAGCCTCACCACATCCCCACAACTTCAGTCTGCCAGTTGCACAACCCTCTGTCCCAATGCTTCACTTAAAGCTCTCCATGTGACCACCTCCACCCCGCACAAACCCTTCGAGATATAAAGCAAACCAACATAACGAATCAGGGAACGAGCGCCCCCACAACATGTGTCTGCACTGCCTCACCACATCTTCGCAACTAGAGTGTGCCAGTGATGCAAGCGTCTGCCCAGCACTTCACTACAAATCTCCACATGCAACCACTGCAAGCAACAATCGAGCCAGCCAAGTCAAACAGGCCCTAGCCCGCATGCCCCTGCAATCTGCGATTCATCCATTGTAGGGAAAGTTGTTAATAGTAGCAAGTGGTCAACCCCTGCCCTAGCTGCTGCAAACACGGGATTTGATGTTCCATCTGGCAGGGGCGGCCATTGCATGCCCATGACCTACGGTGCCCATTTGGAGGGGTACACTGCATCCATGCAAAGCCAAGTGGAGCAGCCAACCTTATGAAAAAAGCCCTGAGCAGCGGGAGGGCCAGCTCGCGGCGGCTCTCTCCTTGCACCTGTTCCTCACCGTGCAAAAGGAAAACCGAGACAAAAGCCAGGGACACACTGACGTGCTGTTGCGCGTCCAGTCTCCTGTGCACCCCTTGTGTGTCCACACCGAGGCGCGCGGTCCGCGAAGACTCAAGCGGTGCCCCGCACGCCCGGCAATTTTATTGACCCGACCCCAGAGCCTCCAATTAGAGGCGTCCCCAGGCTCTGTTCGTTGGCAGATCTGCTCCCCATACCGTTTCAGATCCAACCAAACGATGTCCCCTGTGCAACCACCTACCCCAAATTCTCTCCACACACAGCAACTCGCATCTTGCACCGCCAAAGCGACCACGCTACCACCGCCTACCGCCACAACCCAAACCCACCTCAACCCGCCAATCGAACCGCAACTCCTCCAAACCATGACAACAGCACACACACCCACTGCAGTCCCATCCGACCTGGGCGCGCCCGTCCTCGCAGCTGCGGGCCGCCTCAGAATATGATGCTGCTCTGCATGTTCTTGGCCCGTATATTGGTGGCCTCCCGCTTGTTCTTGACGATCTGCTCGTCCGTGGTGGGCGCCATGGCGGCCGGGGTCTGCTCGCTGGCGTCGCCCAGCAGCTCCAGGCTCATCGCGTTGATCCCCCGCGCCCTCAGGGCCGCCTTCATCCCCTCGATGTCCCCCCGCCCCACATCCATGTCCGTGATCTCCTCGATCGACTGGTGCCCGTTGGCGTGCGTCACCAGCACGCGCCGGTTGGATGTGTTCTCCGCCCAGCCCTCCCCGCCGCTCAGGTGCCACGCGTTGCGCACCATCAGCTCGAAGTAGTCATCTTCATCGATGGACGCGCTGAGCGCCTGGTAGTACCGGTTGAACTCCTCGTTGGACACGATCCCGTCCGCCTCGCCACACTCGAAGGTCGCCAAAAACTCCTTCAGGATCTCCGTCTTGGTCTTGATCCCGCTCTGCAGGTCGGGGTGCTGACTCACGTCGTAGCGCCCGAAGACGTCCTGCAAGTCCACCTGCCCGTCGCCGTTGGCGTCCAGCGCCGAGTACGCCTCGTCCACCACCGCCTGCCGCCGCGCGTTCATGTCCCCCCGCAGGCCCACCAGGAACTCGTCGTAGGTTATCACCCCGTTGCAGTCCGCGTCGAAGTACCTGAACATCGCGTTCAGCGCGCTCTCGTCAAGGTCCATCTCCCGCATCGCCTTGCTGAACTCCGCGTAGTTGAGCGTCTTGCTGCCGTCGTCGTCCATAGACCGGAACTTCTGCCCCAGCGACAGGATGCCGTGGCAGCCGCGGGCCTTGAGCACGCTCTTGAGGTGCGCCACCACCGCGCAGCACTTCGCGTAAACCGACTCCGGGACATCCGGCAGCTGGGCCAGCCCATTGGCTCCCTGCTCCGCAGCGATCGGCGCGTACTGGTAGGCCATCTCCAGATCCTCAAGCCCGGGGCCGCACGCGGAGATCTCCGAGGGGGCAAAATCAACCCAAAAGGAAGGGCTTAACGGTGAGGGGGAGGTAGGGGGTTCCGGTGTAGGTTGCGCGTTCACCGTGGCTGCGTCCGCGGGCGGCTGTGCTCAGGCGGCCAAGGCGGGGCGGCGGGATTCAAAGGGGCTAAGGGGGGTGGACGCTGCATCAGGGGGCTGTCGGTCTGATGCAGGGATCCGTCGCGCTGATCAAGCCACCATGGCGGGCGGGATGGAGGGGGGACGGGCGCGGGGGAGGCGCCTGGGAAGTCGGAGCTGGAGTTTTAGGTACTGGGCGCTGCGGAGAGACAGACCGGAAGTGTGCTGGGTACGACGGAGAGGGCAGCCAGGGTGGGCGTCCAGCCGCACGTGGCGGCTGTCAGCGGGGCTTTTCGCGTTTGTTGCAGTTTTGACGAGCAGCCGCTGGGGAGTGGCGGAGTGCCCATTCGGGGCTGGCCTGTGGCGAGAGAGGTTTGAGAAAGCACCGGACGGGGGAAGCGGTGCGGCCGCGGCTGGCTTGGATGAAAGGGCGTCTTGGTGCGTGGCCGTGGCGGTCTGTTGCGCGTGTGGTGCATCGATGTGAGCCGGGTTGCAGGTGTGTGGGGCGCCGTTGGTTTTCGTTGCGAAACGAATGAATTGGAGGGGGCCGGCAGTCGTGTGCGGGGCGCTCAGTTCATGGATTGCGTGTTGACTTCCTTGGGCAATGGAATGGAAGGCGAGGAATACTGTGGGTTGCTTGCTTTGGCTGGTAGCTGATAAGATCTTGTTGGGCAATGCACCGGGAGTGAGTGCCTGACAACACGTCAACAGCTCCAATAGCTGTCGTTGTGGCCATTCCGCTATGCGAGAGATGGGCACGGGCACGTGTGCGGTTCTTTGCCTTGCTGCGGCCCAAGTCTGCGAATTCTTCACTGGTCCTCGGGCTCCTTTCGTTTGCCGCGCCCACCTCGCCTGTTCGACAGCATCTAATCAGGTTCCTGCCTCCCATGAAGTGATTTGACATTGCAGGGTTTCAGCGGTGTCGAAAATAGCGACATCTGTCTGACTCGATCGCTGAGGGTATGCACAGGGTGCACAGATGCCTCCTCAGCATCGATTGCTGGGGTCAACGTGTTGAAATGCAGAAAATCCTGCAGCGAACGCGCATCGTGTTGATGAAAAATAGGCTTCCAGATGCGTTTGACATGCCTCGATGCCATCGTTCTATTGAGACTCGCAGCAAACAGTTGCAAGCAATGCAGCCACTTCCCAAAGCGGGAATGAAAACAATCAAACTGAAGGCTGCGGTGCCTGAGAGGTACCACCGGGAACTTGCCACGGGTACTCGGGTGTGACGTTCACTCTGTGAATACCTTAGATTGGCTGGTTGCCTCATGCACTTCAGAATGCCTTAGCCGTTCAGCTTGGTTTGCAAACTTCTGCCTCTTCAAGGCGCTTAGGAAGTCATTCTCTCCGCACCGTCGAACTGAGCAAGGCAAACTTGAAGGCATTCAGTATGAAATGCAAAGGGGCCGCAGTTTGCTTCCTGCTACAAAACCAATGCACTCCATTTTTGGCTTTGGCAAAGGAAGTGCTCGTTGGGGCTATTCATGAATGCAATGCCAGCATGTGTTTATCAGGCATCGGGGGAGCTCAGGGACAATGGAAGGCTGTGGCAGCATGATGGGCTCAACAGAGTGGGTGATGGAATGCATCTGCTTGAGGGTCACTCCAAATAGGCGATGAAAGGCAAAGTCTGCGAGCAGCATGTACCAAGGCCGTGGGTACACAGCACTTATTTTTGCATACCGCATATGGTGCGATGCAGGGTGCAGTTTTCTTCTCTACGATCAGATTTTTGGTTGTGCCGCAACGTGGCTGAAAGCCTACCAAACCACCGCGATCGGTTGCCATGGGTGTACCTTTCTGCTGTGGCTGCTGCTGGAGAATGGGAGTACATGATGCAGCAGGTTGATGCCATGTCTGTCTGAATGCACCCTGCATCTGTAGTCGAGGGCGCCATGGGTTGCAGTCGGGTGGAAACTATTTTCTAGTAGTTATTATTGCCGTCTACCTGCTGGTGCAGTGACAGTATTGTCATATTTTGACTGGTTTATCCATTTGTATGACTTTGGGAGACAAGTACCCAAGTGCGCGCTTATGTCTGTTTCTGCAAGCTGCAGCACTGTGCAAGTCGGCATTAAATATCCTCCAGCCTTGTCTTGTCCATGGATGCCATCAACATTGAAGGTGATCGCCACAACTCTTTTTGCTTTCCGTCATGTGGAGAATTGGTTCATAGAGTGGCGATGGTGGTGTTGATGCCATTGGCATCATGAAGACTTGTGGACGGCACGATGCTTGCCAACAAGTCTGTCAAGCAAAAGGGGGCCAGTTCGAAGTGAGGTGTCAATCCTTTGATTTCCTTTCTTGAAATGTGGCAAAGCAGGGCTGCTGCAGGTGTGTTTGACATGTCCCGCCCTTTCCTGGACAGACCGGTGACAAGAGGGACACCAACGGAAATGTCTTCCCATGTGCCACTTGGAAGCCCACCGTGACAGCCAAGGTTGGGAGTAGGCTGACCACAAATGTTGAAAACACTTTGCTGGTGCAGCACTGTCATGGATGTGGCGCCCCTCTTGCATCACTTTCATTGGCTGTCTGACTGAATGTTGTGGGAAAGGAGATTATTACCATGCATCTCCAAAGTAGATGCAGGAAACCTTGCAGGCATCCCTGCCTTCTCCACTATACCACACTGGTCAGCTTGTGATTATGCCGAAATTGCACTTTTTGCTACATTCTGCATTCACACGTCACACATGCAGCACAACATCTCGGAGCAGTGTTTGCCGGCATATCAGTGGTAAAGAAATAGCAATCCTGTTCCGAAGCCACACACAATAGCTTTGAAATGGGAAAAAAAACTCCCCACATCCATGCCCCCAATAGTATCCCATTGTGATCTGTCCCGGGAGTTCCAACCTGTATCTCCCTTAAACATTGGGAGAAAAAGGAGTGATGTGGCCTCGATTCCATGTAATTCACGAACCTTACCCACCAAAGGCAAGAAAAGAAAAAGCATGGAGACCGCTTGACTGCAGGTGCCACCAACAGGCGTTGAAACATCATATGATCAGCGGCATTATTGGCTGATTGATTTGTGGATAGATGCTCTTCATGATACGTTGGTAGTCTCATTGATGGAGTTTTCGACGGATTTATGCAGGTGTGCCCATTACGCTCACGGACGGCAGCACTTGCCCCTTGGACTTCTTTCCAAAGTCCTTCAAGGTTCCGGAGACTATCGCCACCATTCTGTAAATGTATGCGAACGAATGACAGCCACATGTGGGGTAACGTCTGGATTCTAAATGTGATGTTGTATTTTTGTAGTAAAGAATCATACCCACGTGGCTGTCTGCAGTGGATGTCAGAGTATTTTGGCGGACTGTCCATACAGCAGACGTTTCTGAGAAGTTTTGACCAGGTGGGGGAGATGGTGTTTTGCACTGCTGCTGTCTGCCGTCCACCTCCGCCCGGGCCTTAGTGAGCAGGAGGCCACACGGGAGAGGCCCTTGGCCAGACTGCAGTGATCTGTTGGCCAAGGAGCAGTGTGCACCATATCATTGACACAGTTGGACGTCATTTGCCATTTTCAAGACTTGACCTGCACACAATTATTGTATCCCTAGGCGTGCAGCAGCACAGGGTCCTGCAGGTTCCTTTTCTTGCGAAGACAGTTGTATGGGATGAATTTTGGGTTTGGTGGGCATGGAACCGAGCCCAGATATTCTCGGGTCTTGTTTGTTTCAGGTTGGGGCTCGACAATTTCTGGGCGGCAAGAAGAGAATGGATACAATCAGAATGGGCACATTAACTCCCAGCGCAATTCTGGAATGCCGGAATGCCGGAATTCGACTTCGTTGCAAGAGGCATGCGGCGTGTCGAGTTGTAACGAGCGTTTGCTTCGGCATTGTTGCATACGGATACATACTTCGATCTATTGTGAACTACTTTAAAATATTGTCAAATACTTCGTCCCGAATTGATGCAACAATTTGTTTGGGACACCACATATTATTACGAATTTGTTGATTTTCCTCCAAAATTGGAAGTCGTATACACTGAAGACTTATTGTGCCAACCGGACTGCCCGCAGTTTGATGGACACTACCAAACTCCCGATCTGGCATGGCGATCTTGGCTGCAGGTGTGTCTTTTCCAACGGAGTCTTGGCGCATTGTACATTAGTCATGATGTATGCAAATGCCGACGGTCCTGCAGGCAGTAAAACGGCCCAGAAGAAGACGGAAACTTTGGAAATAAAACAGATTGTGTGAAGTTACCATATACAGCATCTATTGATGCTCTTACTAGAAGTATCGACAGCTATCAGGAGCTCCACTGTCTGCGATACATTCATCCGTATTTTCTGTTCTTCAAATAGTTATTGAGCTATTTGTTGATTCATTAGTAAGGGGTATATGTGTGGTAGGCAGTGCAATTGAGGCTGCCGGCTCAGGTGGCTACGATCAAGGAGCGATGGTATTGGTGATTTCAAACAAATTGTGTGGCGCAGCGCGCGGCTGTCTTGGATGATAGGATCTGTCATGAGAAGAATGGCTATTTCGCTGGCCAATGCAGTAGCCATTGGCGTAGATGTGTTTCAAATGATTGGACACCGTTTGACAGGTCACATCATGTCATGCCCTGAATGACACTTGTTCAACCTTGACATGCAATTGGCAGCGCCAATTGGCGGCACACTCAACCCAAATGCTTGTGCGAGATTTCCCAGTGGTGTTGTGGCCATGCATTTCAAATGCATATATACATGCAGTCAACCCTCCTTTGTAGCCGATACTTGCGCCTCGAAAGATATCCTGCACACCTGCATTCTCTTTGTATAGATGTTGCTTGACACAATTCTTGGGAGTGCATGTGAGCACATGTTCATGTTAGAATAGAAATCGTCTCTTTCTGTGCGATGGATGTTTGGTGCAAAGCAATGAACTTCGTCGCATGAAATCAAACATGCAAATGGCAGTTGCCCCTATTGCAAAAGCGATATTCGTTTGTCATGCCCGCTTTCATGTTGTCTTCAATTATGTGGCCTAACTGTGCCCAATGCTCCTTTAGCCATTCCGTGTGTGCTTAACCCTGTAGTAACATTCGCCATTCGAACCTGCCGGCTTTGGCGTGCTGTGCAGCCCTCAGATTCACCCCACAATCAGTGCCATGTCGCAACCTTTCCATACTGAAATCTGCCTGTGCGACACACAATTGCCAACATCCACAACCCACTATGACCCTATCTATGTGCTTGCCTTGGGTGACGTGCTGCAGAAAGAATTGTGTTTAAAACCACAATTCTTGGTTGGTAATGCCAACCAATTGGACACTCAATAAGCTGCCAGCTGGATGGACCCAGTGGCACATGGGGCGCGCTGGCCGACAAACGGTGGCGGCAGGGCAAAACGACGTGATGAGTAAGTGGGCCGGCTTGCCATCCAGAGATTTAGGGCTCGCTGAAATCAGCCTCTGCAGGGAAGGATGGACCTGGTGTGAGCACGCGTATTGTGTACCTTGATTTGCGATCGAGCGGCCTGGAAGTAGCTCAATCAATTTAGTCATCCCAGAATGCGGAAAATAGATTATTGTTCATAAATATGCACATTGCTTGTGCAACCATGCTCGCTCGAGTGGTGCACATGTGCGCACACACTTTTGCTGCAATGCATGTGCCAATTGCAGGAAGCTTGCAAACTTGGGATTCCAGGCTAATCCCAAGACCACCCACCCACAACCACTTTCTTCCGAATGAGAGCGAGTGCAAAAGCTGCGCTCCAAGGTGCCCGCCCAAAGGAAGTTAGCACACGTTTCTCGGGTATTCAGTTCGCCAATTAGTGGAGATCATCAAAAAGTTGGTAAATTAATGATAACATTCAGCTGGCGACCCATGAGGTCCAAGTATGGTGCAGAGGGGACACCGACAGCCTCAGCACCTTCGCAATACTGATGATCGTCCAGTAGGTTGGCGCTCAATGAGGCAGAAACCCCAAAATAGCAATCAGGGGTGTTCTAGAATTTTCTCGCAATCCAAGCCCAAGCCACTCAGAATGCAAAGAGATGACTTGAGTGGCAAAGAGAGACTATGGCAGCCTCACCATATGCCCAAAGAACCCAAAGCAGTGCAGTTGTGATGCCATACACAGTTCCAGTATGTGGCAGCGCACATCATGGGCACACTAGTGTCAGACACGTTTGGAAAACACCATGAAGTACTGAGAAGCACACAGGTCGCTGTTGGGCTCGTGCGTTTGCTTGGCAAGGTATACAGCCATGCATGATTGGGCGCATTGGTCATAGAAAGGCTTGGCGAGTCGGGCTGCGTCAGTTTTTCCAAGCAATGCCCGTTGATGGAGCTGGGACAGCCGTGGCTGCCCATGGTGCTGCTGACAGGGGATGGCAGGCACACGGCCGAATCGCCGATTGAGACGGAGGTCGAAGTTGCTGGGGGGCTTTCTGGAGAATGGGCAGACCTTCAACCTGCGTGGTTGGCTGTGTGGTGGAGCACCATGAGTTTGAGCGAGCACGAGCACTGTGGATGTGCAGAAAAGGAGGTTGCAGGGCTGATGCGAAAGGCATTGTTGAAAGGCGTTCATGGTGATTGCCATATTGAACTTTAATCACCACCCCAAATTCAGATTCCCAGAAGCAATTTGTTATACAATTGGTCCCAACTTTTCACCTTAATCCTAACCAGAATTTTTATCCCAATTACCATTTTTACTTCCCCCTTAAGCTTCCCTCAACATATTACCCGAGTTAGTCAAAACGAATACTACCACAACTGCCCTACGGCACACCCAGTTTGAACAGTTTTCTACTTCACAGAGATGTTGACACACAACCCACAGCACTGACTCCCTTGACTCCTAAGACCAAGCAACAACATCGTCCAAATGCACCAGTACTCCTCCACTCATTCAATCACCAATAGAGATGCCTTCTGTACAATTGCTCTGATACCTTACACCTCCAGAGACGTCAGCTGACTGTGTCGCTTCTACTTCTTTTTCGCTACCCAAATGCACTGATTCTGATGTCTCTTCTGGCAGTTCTGGTTCCCTTTCCATGACCACTGCAGACTCTGGAATTGCCTTCACTAGTTCCTTCTAACTGAATTCTCCAGCTTCTTGCAATGACTTACTGCAGTCACTCCAATGTGCAAAAATGAACGATTGTAATTCAATTGGAAGTTGTCGCAGTTCAGGCTCCACCAGAAGATGGGGAGTCAGCTCCTTCTTCTCGATCCACACTTGCTCAACTGCAACCCGTTTCAGAAATGGCAGTTCAACAACTGCTTCTTGTGCAGGAATCTCCACCCTTCTCCATTTTCTTTGTCTCCCACTATTTTGATCTGTTGTAGAGGGCCGACAGAATTGGCTTTCCCCTTCTGTCGATCTACGACCCCTTTCACTCTCAGGGGTACAGGAGATTTTCAAAGACAACTTCAATGCCAGGTTATGTGACATCAACTTCAGAAAGATTGTTCCTGCTCCTCTTTTTATGAACCATGGTCACTTGCTGGCCCATACCACAATGCACAACCAAGAGAGATTGATGTTGTGGTTAATCAATGAGTGGACGTTAGGCAGAATAGCTTTACACGTTCAGAGGCAACTCAACACAAAGACTGATGCCTTCTGCAACTCACTTTCGGCGTCTATATTCTTGATCAACCCGCTGCTGCATATATCACACAACGAATCAGCTTTGTTTTAATGGTTTGACATTATAGACGGTCAACGACCACTTTTGCATGCACCAGGAAGCCATACAGATTCGAATCACACGAGCACTATACTTTTTACACTAAAAAGAACTGTCTTTCTTAGCTCACCACCAACAGAACGGTCAACTATGCATAGCCCAAAAAACAACTCCCAACCATTAATTCAGCCACTTTCCTTTGACCATACAACTAACCCATGGAATCGAGGGGTTCCAGCAAGTGTGTGGGTCAATGCTGCAGTGATCCAGCGCTTGGGGCGTTTCTTCACGTATTGCACAGCCAAAGTGACGTGTTGCTTTGGGTCGGTCACTCATAAACTGGTCACCTGCCTCCTCTTTTATCCTCCCTCCGGATGCCACAACGCCATTGTCTTCACTGATCGCCCAATGCACTTCGCACTGTGAAGTTCCACCCATCTACCTCATCATTTCATATTAATGTATCCATTCATTCTCACTCTGCACCACTATGACGCTCCCACACCTTCTAGTTTGCTCCTTGATTAACTTTTTAAATACATCACCAACCCACACAAAACTGATTTGACAAATTACATCCGCACTTCTTTTCATCCCTACAACACTTCAACACACTTCTCTGCATATAGAAAAGCTTGCTTACCCCATTCAGCTGCGTCCCCATCATAATTGTCACCCAAATGATCTTCCATTTTCACTCCCATCACTCTACAAATATTGGTGATGGTAGTCATATCCCACTTGCTTTTCTGTGCCCAACAGCAAATGGACAAACCTATCCATTGGGTCTAGCGGCCCATATGCATAGATCCATATGTCCTGTCGCTCATCACAAAAGCCTCCTTTTGCACCTAGACAAATATAGGTGCCAACAACAAAACGCATGACAGACTGCCTCCATTTCTCATGTCCAATCACATCCCGTCGGCTGCGCCCAATGCGCGTGTCATACACCAAGTGGGTTCCGCCAAAGCACTCCATGCCCCCATCTCAGCGCTTGGCACCGATCCATTTTTGAGCACCACATGCCCTTGCGCAGTGAGTGCTTCCTCCAGCAGAGGGAGCGAGGCCTCTTGCATTGGGCGCTGGGCCAATTCGCCCGCCGGCCGATAGTTACCCATACTTATGGGCAACTCCACCAAGGCCATACTTGTTGCCAAGGCCGCTTCTTCCACTGCTAACCATTGCACTTCGGTCGGAAACGCACGCAGAGAGGAATCCAGACCAAAGACCCCCAGCTCCAATGGGGCCTGGGTAATCAGGGATGTGTGAGCCGCACCACCTAGTTCCTCCATCACCCGAGGCTCCACTATTCTTTCCCCGCTAAGTATCTGCAAGATAACGTTCAACTTGTCCTCAACCTGTTGCAACTTTTTGCGTTATCTGCTACCTTCCTTCCCAACATTCCGAACCCCGCAACCTCATCCACCCGCCCCTCCGGGTGGCTCATTCCCGTTTCACCAACCAAAGCCCAAACAGCGCCAATGACACATCCCCCTTGTGCGCTCCTAGGCCATGTTTGCCGGCTCTAGTCGCTTTACACCATAGGCTCTTTCGGGCAAACGGACACTGCTCATGCCCGGCAGAATGGGTTTAGTGTGCAGAGGTGCAGTGGCCCTCTAGCGGATGAGTTCCCACCGAATGTAATTGGTTGAAGACGCATCCGTCATACAAAATTGTCGTGACACTATTGCATTGTCGGTTCACTTTTCTAGTTATGCTCCTTTTTCATGATCGCATGGGCCCATAACCATACAGGTTGCACTATCAATCAATGTCCTTTTGAAACTGCGCATTTACATACCTAATACAACTAGTATCTAGGGGCCAAACACATAGCCCAGCGTGTGCTCATTACATACTTTACTCTTTTGTTTCTTTTCCACAATTCAAGCATACTTAATGAAATTTAGCAGCATTCAATGTGCTACAGCTGGATTTGTCATCCTTGTATAGCAATGGAGAATTCTGGTGTTTTGTGGTATGCAAGTTGTTTCGAAGTGTACCCCTAGGTTAGACCAAGATGGTTTGTCATCAAAGGCGAGGTGCCATCAATCAAAAAAATAGACTTGTGAAAGTTGATCAAATCTGGATTTGAAAAATAAATTAGTTGCAAGTCAGACTTGGAACATGTTGTTGCTATCCCAAGTTATGTAGAGGTGTTTAAAAAAATCGTGTGCAAAAGATTTCACCTTAGACGGATCCTTAGTGAGCAAGATATGGCACTTTATGTGCGATGGAGTCATTTTGGATGGACGGGGTTTGCCCCCTGGGCGACCTGCCATAGGGCGCTGTGAGACGTGGTCAAGAGGGTGTGTGGAGGTGCCACATATTTGTTTGATGGAAATATGCCCTGTGGTGCACTACGTGGTTGCTGACCACGGGAAGTGTGGTTGAACTCCCTTCCGTTCAAAATGTCCCATTGCGCCATGCTATAAACCTATTAGGTAGCATATTTGCACAACGTCGATCCCACTATCGTGGAATATTGTTTCAATGTCATGTTAATAATTTCGCTGTATTTGGGCTGGTGCTGGCGGCACCCGCCACCATAAATATTATATTGATCTCAGCATTTTCGGTGCCTAAGCTTGCAGTTTCGCGGCAGAACCACAAGTGACGGTGTTGAAGGTGGCAGCGTGACTATACTTGCCACAGGGATCTGTGCAATATTACTACCAACCCCAAGCAAAACTACTTGCTCTAAAAGATACCCTAAATGCAGGCCTTTTTGAGACATAACACTTCCATCGCATCTGTGATTGTCTGCCTCTAAAGTTTCCTACAGGTGCGGTTATGTTACAACTCTTTGACATAAAATGGCTGAGGTATCAAACCTGGCGAACGAAGGCGGGAGTACATTGTAATGTTGGCAGTCAAGTCACTGGCGGCTCTGGCGGCCTACTGGCGGTTCCGCCATGGCGGAACCGTATCAACTGGCTAAACGTTGGTTACAGCCTGGTGCCCGCCACTGGATGTGAACTTGCCCCCGCGACTGCTCCCCAAGGCCTGGTGTCGGCCAAGCGACAACTTGTATGCAATGCATACACACAGGATGCTCACAATACTGTGATGCCATCACAAAGTGTGAAGATGAGATAAAACACACACAGGGTCTCGGCACAAGAATATTACAAGTATTGTACAACCCAAGAAGATTACGCCTGTGTTAATCCCCGCCAGGATCTGTGGAATGAAGGCGGGGAAGCTCCCGCCTTAGACACTCCAGCCAACATGGCCATAAGTGGCCATCTCCTCCCACCCACTGCTCATTCACCACTGCCGTCCAAGGGATGACCTCCTTTTGGCCCGTAAGGAACCACGGGAGGTTTAGTTGGACTTCTTCACTGATGAAGGGAGGGTTGTCGGGGTCACAGTTCTCCACAACGCCTTCACAAGCGTAGTACTGCACTTCAAAGTGGCGCACGTCGTATCCGTTTTCTTCACTGGGGTCGAATACCCTGGTGACTCTGGCGATGTCAAACACCCGGGCCCAGGCATCGGCGTCTTCGTCTGCCATCCAAATGGCGACAGTCATCCCGGGGGCAACGTCGTGCTCTGGTCGGAACGGTCTCACGTCGGCAGGTCTTGGGGCCCTGTGTGAGTGACCAAAGAACATTGCACGCTCCCCTGGGATGGGGCCCACGTCCCTGTACAATGGGCGGGTAGAACTAGTCAGTAACCGCATGCCACATTGGGAGTCAAACCACAACACTGATATCAAAGGTTGGACGTTACCAAAGGGGCAAATGGGAAGAAACATACAACATGCAGTACAGACCAAGACCACGCAATGGCAGCCCCCGGGCGGAGATGCCACGCAGGCAGTGTGCTGAAGGTCATTTATACAAAGGCAGGGTGTTTGTGCACGACAGATGAGATGACGGGCCCAAAGGTTTTTTTATGGATATGA